GAACATCAGGCCGAGCGCATACTGGGAGCTCAATGGAAACTCTCCTACAATTAATTCAGCTACTACTGCCACTGCCTCCACTTTTTTTATGTGACGTATCTTGAAGGAAGATCTCTCATGTGATCACAGGGAACGCTTCCTCATTCTTCTTAGTGCTGCTGAGGACGGATCTAGGGTGGACTTCCAGGCCATTGAACTGGTCTCCTGTCAATGGACATTTGGGGTGTTTTGCTGGTGGCTTGACGTTGGTGTAGACTGCCTTTTCCTCTTGCATTATTAATGTTTTTCCTCCCTTGGCATTATTCCCATCAGGAGCAAAAATGTTATCTCTCATCTTAAAAAGAAAGAAAGAAAGAGAACAAAAATAAAACCTCTTGCTCCACTCGTACCCCTCACCCCAGCTACGCTATCTCATTTTTCTCTCAGCTTTATAGGGCAACTCTTTGAGAGAATGGTTCCAGTCTCCAGTTTCTTTGGAAACTGCACCCATTGGGTGTTCACCACCACCCTGTGAAAACCACTCTTCTGAAAATTGATCTCCACTGTTGCCAGAACTCCGGATATTTGTGGTCTTTATGTTGATCTTCGCGTGACTTAGGATACCACACTCTCCTGAGTTTCTTCCTACCTTTCTGACTGTTCCTTTTTGGCCTGTTTGCTGGTTCCTCTTTATTTTCCAGACTCCTAAATTTTGGGTACCCCAGGACTCAGTTCTTGGACTTCTTTCTTCTATGTAGGCTAGTTCCCTAAATGATTTCATCCAGTCTTGTGGTTTTAATTGCTGTTAAATACTGATGACTCCCAAATTTGCATCTCCAGCCTGGTCATCTCCTCTGAACTCCAGACTAGACATATCCAGCTACCTACTTGGCACTTCTATTTGGATGTCTAAGGGGCATCTCATTTCATGTTTGCCACAAAACCAGTTCCTTTTGGGGTCTTCATCTCAGGCAATTACAACTCTATTTTCCTATCTTTTCCTCACACTCCGTATCCGATCCTTTAGCAAATTCTTTTGGTGCCACCTTAAAAATCAGTCCAGAATTCTGTCACTTCTCACTGTCAACCTCACTGTCACCACCCATATCCGAGCCACCGTGATCTCTTTTCTGAATTGTTGCAGTAGCATCCCAGCTGGGGCTTCTTGCTTCTGCTCCTGCCCTCTGTATTCTCTTCTCAGCATGGCAGCCAGTGATCCCGCTGAAAGGTTAGTCTCTGCTTAAAACTCTCCAGTGGCTTCCCATCACGTCTACTGCCTGGTGGTTATCTGAACCTGAAACTCTGCTCTGTCTCTCCCCTCATCTGCTACTCGCCCTCCTGCTCTTGAACATCTTCTCTGCACAGGCCTCCTCCCACTCCCTCACACACAGACACGCTGGCCCCTCGGGGCCTTTGGACTCATTCTTCCTTCGCATGGCCAGTTCCCTGACTTCCTTCAAAGCGTCACTCAGAAGTCACTTCAGTGAAGCCTTCCCTGGTGACCCTGTATAAACCTGGATCCTTCCCCTCCCCTGCCGAAGGATTCGTGTTCTGCTTCCCTGCTGTAATTGTTCTTAGCACTTGACACTATATAACATATAATTTTACTTCTCAATTGTTCATCCTCCCAGAATGTAAGCTTCTTGAGTACAGGACTTTTGTCTATACCACAGCAATGTCTGGAACACAGTAGATGCGATAAATACTCATAATACTTTAAATAGTGTTTCCTCCATTAAGGAGGAAAAAACCCACAACCCATGCTTGTGGGTTTTTTTTAAGGATGAGGTACATATATATCCTGTAATACTTCTGTTATTGAGCTTTTTGAATAAAAATAATGATAAATAGTGTAAAATATGTTTTTAGCACCTAGGGCGATGATCATGTGGTCTTTCTTTTTAGGTGTGTTTATATGATGACTTATTTTAGTAGCTTTTCTAATTTTGCATTTCTAAGATAACCTTCAGAAATGACTTGTTATTCTTTTTTTTTATCATTTTTTTTTGTGAGGAAGATCAGCCCTGTGCTAACATCTGCCAATCCTCCGCTTTTTTTTTTTTTTTTGCTGAGGAAGACTGGCCCTGAGCTAACATCCATGCCCATCTTCCTCCACTTTATATGGGACGCCGCCACAGCATGGCTTGCCAAGCGGTGCGTCGGTGCGTGCCCGGGATCAGAACTGGCGAACCCCAGGCCGCCACAGCAGAGCACGTGCACCCAACCACTTGCACCACCAGGCCGGCCCCATGACTTGTTATTCTTTTAATGTGCTACTGAATTGTTTTGGCCAATATTTCGTTCGGGAATTTTTTATTGTTATTCATAAGTGAGGTTTCTTTGAAGTTTTCTTTTTGTACAGTCTTTAGGCATTGATAAAAACTTTATGTATATTAAACTCATAAAAAGAATTTGGGTGTTTTCCTTTTCCTATGCTCTGGAAGAATGATATAGTGTTAGAATTATTTTTTCTTTAAGGTTTGGTAGAATTCTTCTGTGAAACCATCTGGACCTGCGTCTGTGTTAGTGGGAATGGTAGCTCTTTGTTAACTTTATTTCTTCTGTGTGTATTGGTTTGCTTAGGAAAATTTCTTTCTCTTTTTCATGGTCAGTTTTATTAAATTTTATTTCCTTAGAAAACTATCTGTCTCATCCGTGTTTTTAAACTGATTTGCATAGAGTTGACCCAGGTAGTTTGTTATTCTTTTAATTTTCTCTGTGTTGTATGTTCCCCCATTAGACTAATTTTATGTATTTAGGCTTTTCTCTCTGTTTTGTTGTTTTTTTTTTTCCCCCACTAGGTGGTTGTGGTTTTTCTATTTTTTTTTGTTCTTTTAAAGGATCATCTTTTTGATTTAATTTGAGTTCCACTATTTTGGTGTTTCAAACATTAATTTTGCTTTTCTCTTTGGTGGGAAGTCCTTTCTTGTGCTTTTCTGTGTTTTATTTTATTTTTACTTTTCTAACTTTGAGCCAGGTGCTTATTTATTTTTTATTCTTTCTTAACTCTGTAGGTGAGGTGTCATTTCTCAATGCTCTCAAGACTTTTGTCTTTGTCTTTAGTTTTGAGAAATTTGGCTACGATGTGTCTAGGCATGGATTTCTTTGGGTTTGTGCTTTTGGAAGTTCACTCAACTTGAATATGCAGGTTGATTTCTTTTGCCAGGTTTGGGGCATTTTCTGCCATTATTTCCCCCAAACTTTTTCAGCCCTGTTCTCCTTCTTCTCTCCTTCTGGGACTCTGATGACATGAATGGTGTATCTTTGTTATAGTCCCACAAATCCCTGGCCCACTCATAATTTTTTTTCAGTCTCTTCTCTCTTGCTTAGATGCGAGCTTTATTGCTCTGTCTTCAAGTTCACAGATTCTTTTCCCTCTGTCCTCTCCATTTTGCTGTTGAGTTCACTGAGTTTTTAATTTATTTTGCTTATTGTATTTTTCAGGTCTAAGTTTCCATTTGGTTCCTCTTTATATCTATTTCTTTGCTGAGACTGTCTATTTTTTCATTTGTTTTAAGCATGTTAGTAATTGCTTATTGAATCATTTTTATGATTGTTGCTTTAAAATCCTTGTTAGAGAATTCCAGCGTCTGTGTCCTCTTGGTGTTGGTGGTTGTTGATTGCCTTTTCCCACTGAAATTTAGATTTTCCTAATTGTTGATGTGATGAGTTGTTTTTGATTAAATCTTAGACTTTTAGGGATTTTATTCTGAGACTCTGGATCTTATTTAAACCTTCTCTTTTAGCAGGCTTCCTCTGACACCATGTGGTGGTAAAGGGAAGAGCCACCTACTGCCAAGTGAGGGGTCAAAGTTTAAGTTCCCCACTCAGCCTCTGTGACACCCTGGGGGCGAGGGGTGTCTCCTAACTGATGGGTGGGGCTGGGAGTTCAGGCTGACACCACCCTGGCTGGGACAGGAGTGGTGCCTCATTACTTTTACGGCCTCCAGGGACACAAGGATGAGGGGAGTAATGAAGCAGGGGAAGGTTACTACCACTGAAGAGTGGTGAAAATCCTGGCTCTCTACTAGACGTTGTCTGTCACCACCTTAGAGGAGAGGGAGAGGGGCTCCTTGATATTAGCGAGTGAGGATGGAATCCAGAGTCCCCACGTGTTCTCCACTGACATTGCCGGGTTGGGGGATGCTGTCCCAGCTCTCCCCTTGGCCTTCTCTGACGGTGGAAGAGAGTTGTCTTGCTATAGCTTGGTGAGTGTGGAAGTCTAAGCTCTCCATTTGGCTTTGCACCTTTATCAAAAATTAGTTGACCACATATGTGTGGGTCTATTTCTGGACTCTCTTCTATTTCGTTGATCTATTTGTCTGCTTTTGTGCTAATACTATACTATTTCAATTACCATATCCCTCCAACTTTGTTCTTCCTCTTCAAAGTTGTTTTAGCTATTCTAGGTCCTTTGCATTTCCATATGAACTTTAAAATCAGCTTGTCAATTTGGCCATACCCCTGTTTCTATTACAGGTTAGTGCTGTAATAGGAAAAGATGGTGGCATGTTGCCTAATTTTATGGTCTTTATTAAATAATTAAAATGTGTTGAGAAAATGTCTGAAAATTTAGGAAATATAGATAGCAAAACTTTAAAGAATATATTAAAATCACCCAGACTTTGACTTTTAAAAGGTCATTTAAAAATATGTGTTATGAAATCCAATAGTGTATTATAGAATATGTACGTAGAGTGAGTGTGTTGCATGTGTATGTAGAGATATTGTATATGTGCGGGTATACACATGTGTATTTATTCCTATGCATACAAGAAAGTTTGATAATATTAGTAGTGATTATTAGTAGTGGTATAGTTAGTAGTGATTATCTTTAGATGGCATGATTAAGGATGAAGTATGTTTAACCTTATCATTGTATTGTTCTCGTTCAGCTATTGAAAGCTAATGAAAGAATTGTTCTATTACTATTGGTGTCCTTGGTACTTTAATAATAAACATGATATAATGAGATTAGGAATTTTGTTTCTTTTCATTTTCTTTGTTCTTTTCAAAAATAGTTCCATCAGAGTTCCTTTCTACTGCCAACTAGCAAGAAGAAACAGGTGAGTAAACAGTGCAAGTTGATGCGTCTTCCGTATGCAAGGTAATTGTTTCAAAACTTGGCTAAATATTGACTTGCACACTTCTGCCTGAATTGGACTTTAAATAGTTTTTATTTAGTCTGATTCCTTTAAACATAGAAAAGCATTTAAAAATAAATAATGAAATAGTTGTTAACATTGTGCTGGTAAAAGAAATTGAACACACACGCTAATAGAATTCAGTTTTAAACCTTGAAATAATCTTTGGCTTTCCTAAGCCTCTAGAGAAGGAGGCACAAGTGGACCTTTAGTAATGTGGGTTTGAATTACACTGGTTCAGAGTACTTGGATTTTCATATGACACAGTCAGTGTTCGTGTGTTGTGCAGTGTTTGCGTTTCATCACCCTGTAGTTGCCTCCTGAGGTGGGAATGAGATGGTTTGTGGTATTTGCTACAGGCTGTGTCTCCAGGCCTCCAAGTTCACTTACCCATCAATTTAGTGATCAGGTTCATCTGTAGGAGATGTAGTAGAACTCTTCAGTTCTTTTCTTTCTTTTCCCCCGGGTCATCGCTGGCCTCACTGTTTTCTACTGGGTAAATCTGATAACTGTTTGTACCTTTATTATCTTGCATACTGCTCCAGATTTTAAAATGAACTTTCATCATTGCTTTCTCCTGACCCAAATTCCCATTTCTTGATTAATTTGATTGTAAGTCATAGTAAACACTCTATTTCAAACCTGTCCTTTTAATGATTTTATTTATTTGTTTTTTCCCCCTCAAAGCCCCAGTAGATAGTTGCATGTCATAGTTACACATCCTTCTAGTTGCTGTATGTGGGAGGCGGCCTCAGCATGGCCGGAGAAGCGGTGCATCGGTGCGCGCCCGGGATCCAAACCCGGGCCGCCAGCAGTGGAGTGCACACACTTAACCGCTAAGCCACGGGGCCGGCCCCAAACCTGTCATTTTAAAGACAGTCACTTAGGTCCCGAAAGGTAAAATGACTTAATGAATTAATAGTATCGACTGAAAATTCTCTTGTCTCTTTTAGACAATGTATTTCTGTTCTATAACTTATATATTTAATGCTTTTATTTAAGTGCACAAGTAAATGCACTTGTATATTGAATGCCCTCTGTACCATAGTAAAATATCTTATATCTACTGTGTCACTTTGTATTCCTTCTAGTTTGTTGCGTTGTTTTGCCTATTATGCTGCACTAGCACCACACTCCACCAGTACATTTTAACTGCTGTAGTTTTAAAATAGTACATTTTGTTTTCTTCTAATCTTTTACTTAGATCTTTTTCAAGAATATTTTGGCTGTCGTGCACGCATTGTTTCATACCAATGTCATACAAATCAAATGTCCACATGCCTTCCAAACAATTTTATTGTATTTTTTAAGTAAACTTTTGTTTGAAGTACAATATACGGATTAGAAAAGTGCACAACTCTTTAGAGCATGGGAATTTTCACAAAGAGAACACTGTTGTATAACCAATACCCAGATCAAGAAACAGAATATGACCGGGACCTCAGATACCACCTTGTGCCTCTTTCTAGTCTCTACTCACCACCCACCTGAGGATAAATACTACCCTGACTTCTAGATTAATCTAATAGATTACTTAGTTTTGAACTTCATAGAATTATATTGTTTAGCATGTATGACTTTTGTCTCTGGCTTCTTTTGCTCAGCATTGTGTCTGTGAGATTCATTCCCATTGTCATATGTAGTTGTAGGTCAGTCATTCTCATTGCTGCATAGTACTCCATTGTATGATTATACCACAATTATTCATCCCTCTGATGGTGAACATTTAGTTTTTTTTCTAGTTTTGGTCTATTACAAATAGTGCTGCCATGTATATGCCTTTTGATTAATGTATGTACACATTTCTGTTGAGTATATACCTAGGAGTAGAATTACTGGATTTACATATATTTGGCTCTAGGAGAAACTGCCAAACAGTTTCCTAAAGGGGTTATACCAATTTACATTCCTAGCAGGAGTACATGAGAATTCCTGTTGTTCCATATCCTCAACAGCACTTGGTATTGTCTTTTTCATTTTAGCCATCTTGGGGTGTGTGTAGTGGTATTACATTGAGGTTTTAATTTTAATTTCCCTGATGACTAATGAAATTAAGCATCTGCTTATATGTTTATTTTATTTCTATTGGATTGTGTATCATTTTTTTACAGATTTGCAGGAGTTCTTTATATACATTGTGTAGAAGTTCTTTGTGTATTACAAATATCTTTTACTCTGTGGCTTGCCTGTTCACTCTGTTAATGATGTTTTTAGATAAACAGAAGTTCTTTATAAAATCCAATTTATATATCTATATAATCTATCTATCTATCTATCTATCTAGGTATCTATCTGTGTATCCCCCGCCCCTTATGGTTACTACTTTCTGTGTCCCTTTAAGAAAATCTTTATAATTGCAAGGTCATGAGGTATTCTCCTGTGTTTTCTTTTAAAAGCTTTATTACTTTCCTTTTCACATCTCACATTCACATTCTTCATTCTACCTGGAATTTTAGGTATGATGTGAGGAAAAGGTCCTCGTTTTTCATGGAGAAATCCTATTGACCTTGCACCATTTATTGAAAAGACCATCCTTTCCCTGCCTCATTGCAGTGTCATCTGTATCATCAATCAAGTGACTGGTTGTGTATGGGTCTGTTTCTAAACTCACTGTTCTCTTGTATCAGTCTTTTTGTCACTATCACACTATCTTAATTACTAGGTTGATAATAAGCCTTGATATTTGATAGTAAATCTGCATTTTATTTATTTTTTTGTTCTTGAATATTATCTTGGCTATTCTTGGCCCTTTGCATTTCCACGTGAACTTTAGAATCAACTTGTCAATTTACACACACACATGCACACACACACACACTCTCACACTTCTGGAATTTTGATTGGGGTTACATGGAATATAGTTCAGTTTGGGGAAAACTGACATTTGTAAAATTGAGAGCTCCATCCATGAACATGGTATATCACTCTGTTTATTTAGATATTATGTATTTTCTCTCAATGTTTTGTCATTTTATTAAGAGAGTTATTGCACATCTTAGATTTATTCCTACTTATTTGATATTTTTAATGCTATTCTGAATGTTGTTGTTTTTTAAATTTCATTTTCTTGTTGATACTAGTATATAGAAATACAATTAAATTTTTAATATTGACTTTGTTTCCAGTGACCTTGCTATTAATTTTAATAGTTTATCTGAGGTGGGTTCTTTTTTTTACATTTTCTATGGATATAATTTTATTATTTGTGAATGAGGACAGTTTTCTTCCCCTCTTCAGTTTATAGGACTTTTATTTTTTTCTTACCTTATTGCGGTGGCTACTTCTTGTTCAATAATAAATAAAAGTAGTAGTAGTGGGCATTCTTATTGTGTTCCCATTATTTAATTTCTTTGCTCTTGGGTTTTTGTAGATTCTCCTTATCAGAGTAATGGCTGTTGAATTTTATCAGATGTTTTTTCTGTCACCATTGAGAAGATAATACTTTTTTCATTTTTTCTATTAATGTAATGAATTATAAAGATTGATGTTTGAATGTTAAACTGCCATTGCATTCCTGCAGTGAACTGCTCCTGATAATACATCCTTTTGATGTATCACTCAATTCTATTTTCTGATTTTTTAAAGGATTTTTGCATGTATGTTAATAATGAAGATGGTTTATAATTTTCCTTTCCTGTAATATATTTTATCAAGTTTTGGTATTTATATTACACTGGTCACAGTAAATGAATTGATAAATGCAGTTCTTTTTCTGTTTTCTGGAAGTATTTATGTAAAATTGTTGTTTTTTATTTAAATTCTTGGGAGAAGTTTATCTGGGCCTGTGGTTTTCTTGTGGAAAGGTTTTTGATAACATCCCACTTTAATAGATATAAGAATATTCAGATTTTCTATTTCTTCTTGTGTCAGGTTGACTTTTTAAAAGAGTTTGTCTATTTCGTCTAAAATATCAAATTATTGGCCTATAGTTGTTCATAATATCTCTAGTTATGTGTTTAATATCTACAGGGTATGTAATGATGTTCTCTTTTTCTTTCTCCATATTGGCTATTTGTGTTTTCTAACTTTTTTCTTGATTAATTTTGCTCTAAGGGTTTATCAATTTTATTCATCTTTGAAAAGATAACCATCTTTAGGGCTATGTTTATCTTTAGTTTTAGTATTTTTGTTTTGTATTACATTTATTCTTATCATTATTTCTTTTCTTCTTTCCATTTTGCTTTTCCTTTCTTTTCAAGTTGAATTTTTCATTATTACCATTATTATTTGTTTCTTGGGATTGTTTAGATCATTGATTTTCAGTCTTTCTTTTAAAAAATACAGCTATTTTCCTGTAAGTACTGCTTTAGCTTCATCCCACAATTTTTGGCATGTCATATCCTTATTATCATTCAGTTCAAAACATTTTCTACTTTCTGTTCTGATATAGTTTTTGACCCATGGATCATTTATAAGTATATTTTTTAATATCCAAGTAGCTGGGTATGTTTTCTAATTACTTTTTGTTGTTGGCTTCTAGCTTAATTCCATTGTAATTCCAGAACATAGTTAAAATGATGTTAGGTTTTTGAAATTTATTGAGACCCGGATTAGAACACATCTTGGTCTAATTTAGTAAGTATTCAGGGTGCACATGAAAAGAATGTGTACTTTGTGGTTGTTGGGTGCAGTCTTCTATGTATGTCAGTTGTGTCAATTTTGTTGATTCTATTGTTCAGATCTTCTATAGCCTTCTTGCTTCTCTTGTCTGTTTATTCTATCAGCTATTGAGAGAAGTGCTGTAATCTACCACTATGATTATGGATTCATCTATTTCTCCTTTTAGTTCTGTCAATTTTTTGAAATATATATTTTAAAGTTGTTATAAGATGTGTATAAATTTAGAATTGATTTCCTGATGAATTGATTATTTTATCAGTATGAAATATTTCTAGTAATGATTTTAAAGTCTACTTGTCTGATAAACCATTTCCATGGTATATCTTTCTCTATAACTTTACTT